AGTAGCGATGCCCTTTGCTCCTAGTAGCTTCTTGTTACTAGTAGTAAGGCCAGGAGTTTCTAGTAGCGTCCTTGCTCCTAGTAGCGATGCCCTTTGCTCCTAGTAGCTTCTTGTTACTAGTATACTACTGACTAGTAACTTAGGACTTGTCGGACATACACGCCAATTCCAAAAGCCTATGTCATCAGGATTGACCCAACATTGGCATTTCCTCTTAAGGCCTATGTCATCAGGCCACAACCATGATATTCATAGAAATATGTATGAGGTATTCAAGGCGCCCGCAAAAACACATAGTCGCACCTTATGTCACCACTGTGTCACCAGGGTGCCAGGCAGTGATATCTAGCATTATTTAGCTGTTTTTTTTTGTCGAGGAGGTGTCCACAGGTCCTATGACACCAGGTTTCCCAACCCAGACATTTTTTTTGCTCGATATGTCAGGGCACATGACTTAGTCCTGCGGGTAGCCAGATTGGTATGTCACTTGCATCACGTTGGCCTAAGTCATTAGGCAGTAGTATAGTAAGGCCAGGAGTTTCTAGTAGCGTCCTTGCTCCTAGTAGCGATGCCCTTGCTCCTAGTAGCGATGCCCTTTGCTCCTAGTAGCTTCTTGTTACTAGTAGTAAGGCCAGGAGTTTCTAGTAGCGTCCTTGCTCCTAGTAGCGATGCCCTTTGCTCCTAGTAGCTTCTTGTTACTAGCAGTTTCCACGGGTTCACCATGATTCACCATCAGGTGCGGCGCTGGGTGTCCAGCTACGGCGCCCAGTGGCGCCAACGGCCGCACGAGGCGACCAAGACCTTGTCACTCGGCGCCGCGACGGTGGGGACCGAGGCTGGATGGTAACACCACGAGACCGAATCAAAAAGGGGTTGGATTCCGTGGCGTGGTGCATTTTGTGGCTTAGATATATTATATATATATATATAGAGAGAGATTATTTGGTACTGGTAGATTCTGGTAGTTGGATATTGGCAAGATTGTTGCAACGCGGCCGATGTATGCACATGTATGCACGATGTAAACCTAATGATTTAACTAATTATATGTGGTCGTTCATGTTCACTGGGACCATGTCAGGAATGATAGCACAAAAAAAAGTAGTCATTGGTGGGAACCATGGTAACCTGCTCATACTTCGATAGCAAAGGATCATGATTGTAGTTGTAGGGGATTGGTGTGGTTCAACCCTCCGGAAGCCCTAGAAAAGAAAAGAAGGGCCTCCAGTGACAAGAAGTCAGCATAATCAAGGTGGTGTTGTTCAAATAGTGATTGGCTGATGCGTTTATTGTTTTTATATCGATTTACCCCTTCTGTAGGCTATACAGACGTTGTCCCCCAAACAGAACGAAAGCCAATCCCCTACACACATTAAATTGGACACCTTGCTAGAACTCGTGGTCGGACAACTATATTCCTTTCATGGGGGCAGGCCCAGGTGGAACAGAGATGTGTCGTCGCCTTGGCCACACCCTGAGGACAAGCCTAGCGCGGGCTCGGTACAGCCAACGAGCAGCCCAAGTGCTGCAATCCATGCAAGCTGAGAAGGTGAGAGATTAGAACATCCAAGGATTCCAAGGATGTCTATGAATAACCGTCGTGGGGATTTGAGCCAAGAGTTTCCGGGGGGGTGTATGTATATATATACACGTAAATTTCACGTCGAAGAGGGCTTGAGCATTTGCACTTTTGCCAATGCATTCCAGGCCTAATCGCTTGCCCTCATCCACAGTGCGGAATTGGGACACATTCAAGGAAGATCGGGTTTGGCGTGTTGATTCGAGATTGTTGAGACAGAGTCAACCTTCACCCCGTTGGGGTTGATACACTCTAGATGCGCAAACAAAGCTTGCCATGTGCTATTCACCTAGCTGGTTGATTGCGATGTTTGTTGTGGTGTTTGCGTGCGTGGTTTTCAGAAGCCGCCGCGCAACTGCAGATTCAGACGAACATTTTCCATTACACCGCCGCAATCAGTGCTTGTGAAAAAGCAGCCAACTGGTTTTTGGCCATCCATTTGCTGGACCGTATGCATCAGGACCCTTGGCTTTGTGATAATTCCATGGAGTATTTGGGCACATGTTTTGCGCATGTTCTTGTTGGACAAATGCAATCAGTTGTGCTGTGGAGCATGTCCAGCGAGCGCCAAGGGCCCGTCTACTATGCGATGCTTATACATGCGTCACATAGCAGAAGGGG